ACCTAATCATTCTCACCTACTTTTTATCAAATCCCCTAGGATTTCTGTGATTAGCTTTTCCATCGCAATCAAGGTGCCCAAATAGTTAAGTCCCACCAGCCATGAACACATGCAAATCCTATTCTTGAATTTGCTATGCTTTCTTTCTCTGGGGCTGTTGACCGCACGATGGGCAAAAACAATCTGCAATCCAACAGTCTTCCTTTCTCCTTCGGATTCCGGTGAGACAGATTCGAGAATTCCTTCCAACCAACTTTTTATTCGAAATGAAATCAAGACTTGCATATGAAACAGCTTGTCCAAGTAGGATGCTCCACAGGAAGCATCTCCTCCTAACTTTCCTTCCCATTTACCAGTCGAGTTAAGACTATGACCAGCATTTAGTCACCCCAACAACCTGGAAAGGAGGGAGTTATGTACGACTTCATACCCACGCAAAGCTGTCTTAATCGGGATTATGGATGTCTGTTTCGTCTATATGCTGGAAGTATAACCAGTTAGGGTCAAATGAGCACTTAATCGTGGAGAAAATGCAATAATGGGACAAAGTCAAGCCCGCCAACAGGCCCTATTTTTGTCTCTTAATAAGGACTTGGATATCACGTATATGTTGATATACCCGTGGATGGGGATGAGTATAATGTGTGTGTATCATTACATACACATGCAAGCAATCAGGGACAGATACCACGGCACAGGATGCAAGAAGAGAGACGAAAATGCACGAAAAGGCGGACAAGGTGTGTGGAAATAGTGTCCAGGGTAGACTAGGGCAAACTTCCCCACTGGCCTCAGTGACTAAATAGATGCGAAGTAGGATTTTCCCATTAATTATGAAGGACAGTAGAAGTGGCCGGCCGAGCTTAGAAAGCCGCCTCCCCCAGAAGTCTGCCTGGAGCCGAAAAGTATAAAACTATTCCCCTTTAAATGAGGCATCCGCACATGCCTGTGCTCTCGTCTATCCAACTCGCCTCTCCTTCCTCCAACTGTTTCTGCAACGCTAATCCAATTTTCCGTGATTTGATCAAATGCCTAACCACGCGCCAACAGGTCATCCTTAATTTTCTCGAAATCCCCACATTCAACTGAGGCTGTACAGATCTGTCCGTTTCTGGTTCGGCCGAACGAATGATAGGCTTTCTACAAGACTAGCAATGAGCTAATCAACGGTTTTTGCCCATTCCTACTGAAGAAATGGATTGCTTCATTCCAAACCGTCACTTACCAACAGACACGACCATAATTCATGTCATTTTGGCCCACAACCCTGAGCATCTAGCCAGTGCTGCTAAACGCACACACGCGCACACATGTGGGCTGACACACAAATAGGGTCGAACGTGTTAGCACAGCAACCTGGGCACAATCTGACACACTCAACGGATGAGGGGAAGCAATCAAAGAGGAGAGGGCTGGAAAAGGGATTGGGCGCTGAGGTAATAGGCGAGAAGGTGATTTCCGCAATGGAATTGCGAGAGCAAGTGCTGGAAGTGTAGCAGATGGTGGAGGGATAGGCTGGTACATGAAAGTGGTAGACCCACAGTCGCCTCGTTCCCTCTTCTCGGCCCAGGTCGTCAGTGCTGAGGGTGGGTTATGGCTCTCCTGTCAATCCCCACTGTCCTGTTCCCCCGGCCTCGGAGCAGAAAGTATAGACGGGCAGACACAGGTCGAGCCTTTGGCCGTATCCACTCAGCAGGGGAGGCTGCGGCCGGCGGACGAGAACGACGTGTTGCCAGGCTTCCCTTCGATATGATGTGCCGTATTTGCGTAAGCCCCAGTCGTCCAGCCTCCTCCGGACGCTCGGGTTCATAATCGAATTGCCCACATGAGGCAGCCCGGCCTCAGGTGGCCGAGGGACATGTGGCTGCATGTGGCAAAGAGCATGCGTCTTAGTGCTTTCAGGTCCAAGTGTTGGGCAAACGGAGCAAAGGGGCTGAAGGCGCATTTCAGCTCAGCCAGACAGTCGAACGGTCGAGAAGGCGTCAAGGCCGACATGGTCGCAGTCTCCTTTTACGCTCAACAATTGGTTTGGCCGCATCCCCTCAACATGTTCATGCCACCAGAGGGACCCTGGAGAATGTACCTTACAAAGTGCCCGAGTCCTCGGAGCATCGACTTAGCACATTCCCAGAAGTTGCCTCTTCGACGGCGACAAGAATGACAAGACTCCATCGACAATACTACCCATCAATCCAACAAAATGTCCGTGGCAAGGTACCCTTTTTGAAGTCGCCCTGACAACACGGCGCCTGCATCGAGGCGCTTTGGTGCCAATCGAGCTCTAAAGTTCTGCGACCTTTGAGACTGGGGATTTTGTCTTTTTGTGGGGTCACACGAATAATGGAATCGATATTTGGATATGTTGCTGTACCAATGGAGACCAATCGACCTCAAAGAGGCTGTCTGTTTGACCGAATGTGTATGCTTCGAAATTCTGCTAAATTATTGAATAAGAAAGCTGGTCATACTAGATCACTTAAGAGAATATAAGAATTAATAGTTGGATTTCGGATAATTAAATGAGGAGAAGACCTCTCGGCACCAGTAAATTTCACTGAGTCTTGCCCCCTTTTAAGCATCCAATCCTTGTCTCAGGTTCATATTCAATTTCTACTGAAAGCTGTAAGACGTACATTTGGTGGTTGGCAATTTCGTCGATTTTATTGGACGACCGAAGTCTATGCAAATAAAAGTTGGATTTTGACGAGCCT